GAACGACCCCCACACGGCGCTGAAGAAAACGAAGATCATAGATTGTGTCGACGTGGGTACGAACGAACCCCACGCTTCACGAAAAGTTATTCGAAGCCAACGTGTCCGCCGTGCTAGGACAACGTGCGCGAAGAGCCGAAGCCAACGTGTCCTCCGTGCTAGGACAACGTGCGCGAAGTGCCGAAGCCATCACATCACGAAGCACCGCGTAAAAGTGGCAGATTTAAGGTCCGCCAAAGGTTTTAAGTTTCAACACACTAAGTTTCAAGGTCCTAAGTTTCATCTCCCGTTGCCTGCACCTAACGGTGACAAACGCAGGCATTACGGGCAAACTGCCTCTTTCGAGGCAAGAAGACTGCCTTTTTCAAGGCACAGGAGCCGATCTTCAAGACTTAGGGTGTTAGGGTGTTAGGGCGATAGGAGGCTCTATGCCTAGAACTAGGAGTCAAGGTATCGGGGAGGACGAGCCAGCCGCCATGGAACATAGGAAGCAGCAATTAGGCGCGATACCGCCGCGCGTTTTCGAGGAACCGCCGCAGTCGCCGTCCGAACTCGCCGCGAGCGTTATCCCGAACGATCCCCCGGGGGACGATAGTAGTCTCCAGACTAATCAAGTAGGCAATGTCGAATCTTCTAGGCCCGCACCGCCGTTGAGTAATGTTCACGCCGCCGCGACTTTAGCACGCGTAACGGAATCACGTCCCGCCGCGTGTAGGGTAGGGAGTACTTCCGCTCGTTCGCGTGTCTCAGCGTCTAGCGCGGCCGCGCGCGCTAGAGCCGAGCTAGAAGCGGAATTAGAAGACATGAACGTTAGGCGTAGACGTTTGGACTTGCAGGCCGCGCTCATTCAGGAAAGGCTCGTCGCGCAGGCCGCACGTGAAGAAGCTGACGCTAGCGAGCGTGAGAGCGTCGTTGAGAATCCGTTTGAGACTACGGTACGGATCAACGAATGGCTAGATAAACGCGATCGAGTTAGACAGCAGGTAGAACTACCCCCTCCGTTAACCTCACGCGATCCGCGAGGCGAACGAGGGGAGGGCGCCCGAGAGGCTCCTCCGCGTGTCTATGCGAACCATAGAACGGAACGAGGGGAGTACAGGCGCGAGCGCCGTTATCATCGCTCGCCGTCGCCGCGAGAGGATAGGCGCGAACACC